GACTCAGACTGAGTCCTTATCTATATAAGTCGACAAGAAGACGTTCACGATTACAAGAACATTTCATCGATTTACCAACCTCACAATGAGACTCCCATTCGTACCATGCCTTGTTTAGAACTGCAACGCGGCAAATGGCTGTTTCGCGGATGGATGTGGGTAGACTGGTTTTCGTGCGGATGGAGCCGAGGAATGAGTTCCTGGTCATCTCCGTCAGTTCGTTGCATCTCAAAGTGGATGTGTGGATGGAGTGGGTATGGCTGTGTTATGCGCCCGTCCATCGTGTGTGGACTAGGTAGGAGAGCATGATATGGAAGATTGGAGCATGATGCTTTGGAACTTACCACCCGTCCGCGACCGGGGGAGCATGAAGCAATGTCCGGTCTAGAGCTATGAGGCCCTTCTCGCCTCGCCGTTGTCTGACGCGCTGCTCGACGGCTTTGTCTTCTTCGGACGTGAAGTTCGGCGGGTCGGGGACGTATGGGAGACGCATTGTGAGGTTGGTAAATCGATGAAATGTTCTTGTAATCGTGAACGTCTTCTTGTCGACTTATATAGATAAGGACTCAGTCTGAGTCAAACGCGTATGCTCCTCTTCGTCGAGATCGAGATGAGTCAAGCTGCGTGCTCGTCACTACATATCCCGAGGTCGGCAATAGAGCTGGAGCCGTCGGAACGCATTCCGAGCACTGAGCTGGCGGGGACGAATCACAACTCTCTTCGCTTACCACTTATCGATAACGAGACTTTCACCATCCTTTCCCACCTAGTCCGATGACTGTCGCACTCGGCTGTAAACAACAACACAAACAATAACAGACATGGCGCCCAATTCCAAGCTGAACGCAAAGCGCAAGGCGCAAAGAGAAGGAACGCAACCTGCGAAGCCCAAAAAACCGGAAAAGCGTCTGGCGAATGGCGCTAAAGGACCTGGGATTTCTTACATTCCGATTGAACTCCAACAGCTTTTGTTGAACATTTTCCGCAACTCGTTCGCGGAGAGGATGAGCGCGGATATTACGCCGCTGTTGCAGGAAGTCAAGGGCCATCTTTACAAGCGCGACTTTGCGACTGCATTTGGGAAGAAGGAGTATTTGGAGGCGTATGCGGCGAGGTGGAGTCCGAGTCGCGCGTTGGGATATTTGGATCTCATGTGGGAGTTGAGGGACGAGATATGGGTTGATGAGGAAGATGAGGAAGAGGATCTAGAAGGCAAGACCGAGCAAGTCAAGCCGAAGAACAGGAAGATTGTGTGTTTGGGTGGTGGAGCGGGCGCGGAGATTGTGACTTTGGGCGGCTTGCAAAAACTGATGTCGACCACATATTCACAAGATGGAGAAGATGTAGATGGTCCGAGAGGTCATGTGGAAATTGCCGCCATCGACATCGCCGACTGGAGTGTGGTCGTGGAAAACCTCGCCAAACAACTCACGGTCCCGGCCGAACTATCGAAATACGCATCAGCCGCTGCGAGAGCCGCGAATGTCCCGCCTCTCAACCCAGAAGACGTCACCGTACGATTCAAGCAGCAAGACGTACTCTCAGCCTCGGCTGAAGAACTATCCGAACAACTCGCCGACGCAAACCTCGTCACACTCCTCTTCACCCTAAACGAACTATACACAGCCTCACTCCCCCTAACCCAAAAGTTCCTCCTCCTAATGACATCTATCCTCCAACCCGGCGCTCTCTTCCTCGCCGTCGACAGCCCCGGAAGTTACTCATCCGTCACGCTGAACGGCGCCGAGAAGAAGTACCCCATGCAATGGCTCCTCGACCATACACTGTTGAAGCAGGCCAGCGGGAATTTGAATGAGCGCGGCAAGGAAGAGATTGTGCGATGGGAGAAAGTCAAAGAGGATGATAGTAGGTGGTATAGGTTGGATGAGAGGTTAAGGTATCCGATTGAGCTGGAGAATATGCGTATGCAGGTGCATCTTTATCGGAAGTTGTAAGACGTCGCAATACCATCGACAAAGATACAAAACTACCCTTTCAACCCTTTCTCTTCAGTGGCCCTCACCCATTACCCATCCAGCCGCCATCACGGTGTCGACTCATCCATCAAGTCTGACTCGGGTCACCATTGCCACTCGCTTATGCACTCTTCCTGCGACTTGATCGAGGCACTAGAAACCATCGAGCCTGCACGGCGTGGTTGTCAAGACATATTCAACTGTCTCTTCGGAGCTGGTCGCCTTATCCGCGATAGTGGCTGAACCTGCCGCACCAATGTCGCGGATGTTGTGTGTCGATAAGCGGAGCTTGAGAGGTCCGTTCCATTCGTCGCATGGCGTCCACGCATGCGACATGATGGCCAGTCATCATGAAAAGCAATATCACAAACCCCCCCTCCCTCTCACCCACCCCTAACCTCCGTACAACTCCACCCCCTCTCCCTCTCCCTCCCCTGCCCATAAACATCCTCCGGCCTCCTAACCCCACTTCCCGAATCCACCCTATCCATCTCCATCCTCATACTCGATCTCGACAGCTCCTTCGTCACCAAGATGCTCTTCAAACTATGGTTCTCCTGCACACTCCGCAGACTGATGTCGCTGCTGCTTGCCGGGCTCAGCTTGGGTGTCTCTCGTAACCGTGTCTTTTCGTAGCGGCGGAGCAGGATGGCGATGATGGGGACGGCGAGGAGGAGGCAGACGATGGCTATTACGATGCCGATTATCGCGCCGGGACTGAAGCCGTCGCGTCGGGAGCTGCCGTTGGGGATGGGGATTATGGCTGGGGGGGCTTCGGGGGTGAGGGACGTTGTGGGGAGGGGGTTTGGTGGCATTGTGTGTGTTTGGTTGTTGTTGCTGTTGTGACAGGTTGATGGCTTCTTCGAGTAAAGATGATTGGAGATGCAAAAGCGTTGTGTTTGTAAACTAGAAAATGGTGACGAGACGAAGGACCCAACGGAAAGATTAAGTGTAACGACAGTATTGTAGTGAGCGAAAGTCCAGATTATGCAGACAAAAAGGTGACAAGAACTACGCTCCGTGATAACAGAAAGGATATGCCAGGCTTTCAATCCCAATAGCAAGAACACGAGGGGTTTTCATGCCACGAATAACACCCCATCACGCCTTACCGTCACCTTCCAGAACAACCCCCAACCCACACCTACCATGCCTATCCCGACCAAATCGCAGCAACCGCTGACCACAAAGACGTGAGGACATCTTAGCGCACTCCGCGACCCTCGTTGTAGCGACTAGAATTGGCTGCAAGGCAAAGTTAGTGGCGTTTACAACTAGCCAATCACACTTCCTTCGCGGCTGAAGGAGACGAACACCTAGGCCAGAGCCGCACGCCGCCTCGCCTCAGCCAGCGTGCGTTTGCGCTGAAGGATCAGAGTCTACAGCGAATAGTAGGCGGGAGGGGTAGAGGGGTCGTGATGCCCTTTTGTGATGCGCATGTGGAGGGACGTGGGGACGCGGTTTCGTTGGACCGGAGGTGCGCGAGGTGAGGCTTGCGCAGGTACGGGTTTGGGGGAAATGGGAATGGTGTTTGGCGAGGGGTTGACCGCTTGTGAGGCGCGTTTAATGAGTCTGATGTGTTTTGAGGTGTTGTGGGCATGCTTTAGAGATGTCACGAGGGAGTTGTGGGTTGTTGTTGCCAGGTGCCAGCCGTGCCTGCCGCTTGATCCTAGGCGGGACGAGGCGAGAGGGTGCCCTTCATTCGCACCTGTCGTCGCGTTGTATCCTTACTCCATCATGGTGACCAAACATCTATCAAGACACAGCGTTGCGCAATTTGCCTCCAACGTACATCGGACGTGTTCTGGTCTTAATTGTATAGACTACCGTTCACCGGCGTATTAACCGGCTCGCAAGAAAGTCCACAGTGACCAAGGTCGCCGTGCTCCAATAAGGTCTCGAATGCGCCCCATCGCAGAGGTTTCTCCCAGGGTGCGTCCTCATCAAGTCGTGCATGACAAGAAGCTGCGATAGCGATGCTACACGAACCTACAACCGGCATTGGGTTCAGTCGCTTTAAGCCCAAGATAACCAAGAAGAGCACTAGAACACAAGCAACTATCAGGGAGATAAAGATGCCGAGTGGTGAGTAACCGCATGTGATGAAGTCAGCACCACAATAACCCGCATCAGCTCGTGAACGAGGCTGGCCAACATACGTGGTCGAGGAATACGCGATCGGTTCCGACCCCCAGTGATAACATTGACCGGTCGTATTATGGTTTCCATGCATGTTGTACACCTCGACAGCCACCACGAATATGCTTTGGGAGGCCAGCCAATGTAGCACGCAGGAGAACATGAGCAGCGGTATAGCGTAGCGGTAAGGTAGTTGGAGGAAATATGTGCTGCGCTGTACGCCGGATTCGTTGGTGGACACGCGCAATCCTTTGGCCTCCGAGAAGTAGCTAGACCACTCCCGTGCAAGCAGCATGGATGTGATTGTGGCGTTGTAGGAGAAGTAGATGAGCGAGATAATGACCTGTGGACTGTTTGCGAGGAAGACATTCGCTAGAATGCCAGGTACACCCTTGAAGGGCCACTCGTTATCCTTTGGGATAAAAGCAATGACGGTGCGGGGATCTATGCGACCAAGACCAATCCCGAGGACGTCCCCGAGGCTTCTTGCGCTCTGAATTTCACGGTAGCGCCAAATGAACAATCCCAGCAGCACGAAAACTCCCGCGGACAAACTGCAAATAATTAGCCAGTTTGACCTTAACAATTTTCGAACTTGAACGTACGCTATAACACATATAAAAGCTTTACCAGGCTTGACAGATGACATCCACCATGGTCTGACACGATTATAGGGTGAAGCAGGCTGTGGTACTCGTCGTTGCGCCTCAGATTGTGTGTGTACGGTCTTTTGTGACTTGAGGCACATTTGCAGTGTTCCATTGTCAGGCTCTTGTAAAAACGAAGACACGGCATCTCCGATCGTGAGCAAGGGACTATGGCGCAAGATCATCGTGCTACACAGCATAACAATCAGCTTTAGTGCATTGCACACAATGACAATGATTCCTATATGGATGCTGAAGTTAAGTGTGCATTGTTGCTCCATCCGCTCGCTGAGACAGTAGTCTATGGTTGACGAAAACGGTGTCCAGCTGGAGGGATTTGACTTCAATTGCGACAGTAGCGTATCGTATGCTCGAGGAACACAAACTCCGACCGAGCCGTGAAAGCCGTTCGGAAAAACCGTGAATTGGGAGTATATCCACTGCGTCCCCAAGTCTGGATCCCTACAATATTGATGACCGCCCTCGTCCGCGGAAGATATGTCGACCACGTTCTCGTAGAGTCTGGTACCATTGTATAAAACGGAACTGTTTTGTGTGACGAGGAATACATTTCCTCGAGACGCTTGAAGTGGTTGACTGTATTCGTTGATGCAGCTGAGTACGTCGAGTCGCTCTAATCGCTTTCTTTCGAGGGCTGGTTCATAGGCCCTCAGGAGTGTTGCCACTTCTAAGCTTAGGTTCTTCCCCGGGATATTTGTGAAGTATGTTCCATTGTCCAGGGCAGCCTTGGCTTCGGAACCAAGCTGCCAGGCGCCATAAGTCTGAGCTGATAGTGTTGCGAAGACCGCTGAGTTATAACTAGTGCATCTTAGTACGATTGGTCTCAGCCATGACAATGATGATGGCGCTTACCACAAGTGCAATGGAAAAGATGACGCTGCAAGTATCCACCAACATATCTTTTTCTTGAAACTTAGAGGCGATGCCAAGACATTGTGCAGGCTCGGGACACCAATATCGAGATACCGGCCTCGCGCATGCGCTGCGTCAACCTCTAGCCGAGAAGGTGCTGACAAGCATTGCATGCAGTAGTTGCTGCCTCCAAGGAGCATAGTACTCAAAATGTTGATAAGGACATGAATTCCGGTGTTCACCTTACGCATCTCGTCGCACGACGCTTCGTAAAGTGCGCCGGTCCCGTTGCGCGTTCCTCGAGTCGATATCGCCCACACAAGGAAGGCGATGTTCGTTATGAGGACTGCTGCGGCAAGACCAACAAGGAGGAGCAGGCTAGTCCGCCATTTCGGTCGTGCTTTTCGTGATTTTGTAGCGTTGTTATAGGGTACCAAGAGTGGTATCGAACGTAACTTATGCATGATCGCACCCGCCATGATGAAGTCCGCGATGAGACGCGATGAGACTGTGGGCGGGTAAGCGTGAGAGATAGTTCTTATCGCAGCCGCAAAGAGATATACAGCAGACGAGGCTGAAAGCCACAATTGACAAGGCTTGACGAGGACATGGAGCTGAAATATTTAGGCCAGGGCTAGAACCAGTAGCATAAGTAACGAGGTGCGAGTGTATCAGGGAATGTATGTGATTCGTGTCCCACGTGTCCATCCCATGCCTTTTCTGGACTCCAGTGCAGGAGCAGCTGAAGTCGAGTAGACATTGTCGCCTCGAACTCAAAAGCCTTCAACGCCGAATTAGACAGCTAGATCTCTCTACAGACGAGTTCAAAAGCGAATAATGAATAGCCGTGCGCCCGAGGTCTCTTTAGCGAGCTTTTGCAAAGTTCGGAACTTCACCGTACCTTGCAGCGATCACTCTGTCTCTAGACCGGAGAATTCGAGATATCCATAAGGACGACACTGCTAAGTGGCAAAGGTCATAAACGATTGTCACCTCGGCTACGCTCCCGCTCTTCGATCAGAGCCAGGATCACAGTGCCAAAAATGTCCGTGCGAACGGGCCCAGACCAAAACACTAGGTTCGAGGCGCGAAGCTAGGCTCAGCCTCGTTCTACGCCCAAACACATCATTGTGCTCTGAGTCCTCCCACGAGCTCTATTGCACATTCTGTCTTCTGTCTTTCGAGCCTAGATCTCTCTAGCTATTCACTTAAGCTATGCAGCGCCCGGCGTGCACCAATAGAGACATGTCACGCAGGTAGCTCGCCTCGCATACCTGCTGCACAGCTGCAGGGTCGAACGAGACTTTCTACAGCCACGGGCGAAGTCAGATAGACAGCGGAGTGGGTGGCACAGGCGCGGCGCGAGGCATGACGCTGTCAATTGTCAAATCTGAGGTGGTTTGTATATGTGACGGGGGTGTTCGGCTCATGCAACAACAGGCCCGCGCAACAAAATGTTGCCAGTCGTGCCTGCCCCTTGTTCGTAGGCGAGGCGGCAGGCTGCCCCTCATCAGCACCCGTTGTCGCGCTGTGCCCTCGCTTTACCAAGCATCCATCACGACAGGTGTCGCACAAGTTTTCTCCAGAGTATTATGGACGTGTTCCGAATGAGAATCTATCTCCTGATGGCAGTATCTTCCTTACTTGTCCTCATGTTCTTCTCCGGCGACGCGATACCCTCCGCCGCGACGGGCCCTCAGCCAACGGCGATGTTGTGCTAGCGACCAGTCGGCACCTTCACGAAGACGTAGATAAAGGCCATATTATGTTCAGCATTCTTCGAAGGTTGCGATACGTAACCGTCGTCTTGTGCTCGAAGCCGACTGCTCCGGCATTGCGGAAGAGACTCGTCCGGCTCTCTCCCCTGGGGACAAGGGCGTTGCGACCGCGAATTAAAGACTGACTTCTTGGAGCTGAATGAGTTGGTCAGTTTACTCCGAAATTCAGAATATGACGACGACTTCTGATGTGAGAAGTTGTCGACGCAGTCTTGGAGTGCGAGTGCGAGACCGACAGCGAAGCTTCCGCACACGTATGCACGGTCCTCCGCGTCGTACTCTTTCCGCGATACGACTTGTGTCCAGGCGTGACGTCGCCCTGCGCTATGCTATCTAATCGACGAAATATCATTGGCCATATGCTTTACTGAAACAAAT